TTTCTTCGCTCATCATAAATACCTGCTCACCCCTACTATAACTGTATCCTCATAGTACGAAATCCTTATACTTTTATCGATATTTTGGTCGAAGATACAAACGCGTAAACTGAAACTTATTGCTTTCGTGATAAGAATGTAAATGTATTACCCATATTAATTTCAACTACACATGCTGCCACAAAACAAGGAATATGTTTCCGACTTGTAAGAGTTAACTAACGCTTCACGAATGTACCACATCAATCATCCTTATCACACACCCCCCCTCCTTCATTCCCTTTCTTTTTATTTGTTTCACACTCTCTTGGAACACCTCTAACCTTCGGCACTTATATGACATTATTGTTTTGCAATTGCCATAAAATCTCTTACGAAAATTAACCCAAAAGACATACCTCAACACGTTTGGCAAAGATCTTGTAACTCTTGTGAGAATCCTTCTTGTACAGTGTCAGGCTTCCTGAGGTGGGTCCGGTCAGGGGGAAGTACGGGCCTGTGGTTGCCATGGAAGCGTTGGGGAAGCTCAGTTCTCCGCACATCTCAATTCCGAAAATAGTAGCCAGTTGACCACCAGAACACACTTTGTACTCCTGACGGTTGTCGGCCATCATAGCCTGCTCTTTTTCCACGTCGTTGTGGATGATGAAGAACTTTGACCTGCGGATAAGAGGGTGGTTGACTGGCGGGTGCTCTGGTGTCGCTTGCTCGTTCTTTCTTATTGAGCATATTTTGTCGTCCTCATCTTCCCTCCTTTTTTGTGTTTGTTAAGGGCCTGAAAAAACCCCAAACCGTGGCAACTAAAGGAACCTAATGGGGTGCAAATGCCAGAAAAACCAAAACAAAAACTAAAAACAAAGGAGGCCAAAAAAAAAAGTTAAAAAAACAAAACGGTACGTTAAGTGGGAACCAAACCCACCAAGGAGCCGATGCCTCTGGTTTAAATCCCCAAAGAGACTTTCTGAAAAACAGATAATTTAAGGCCGGGTAAAATAAAACTCCCCGCTTATTTGGATTTGTCCTTTTTGGTGGTGGGCGTTAAATTTCGAGGTCCCGTCTTTTAAATAACCTCACTCTGTTGGAAAGGGCCGTTAGACCTATACAACTTTCCCAACTCCTCAAATGCAAAAAAGAATGGATAACTAAAGAACATGGACTACCAAAAGAATATGTATTAAAACAAAAAAAGGAAAGGTAAAAATCCAAAAAAAAAAAAAAAAGGAATTTCCGAAGTTCAAAAAAAAAAAAAAGAATTTGATGTTATAGAGAAAGGGAAACAATAGCAGAAAGTATAAAATGATATTAAAGGATCAATTACTTCGAGTGTGCCTTTATGCAGTAGTATTTGGACAAGTGGAAACAGTCAGGATGCTGCAACACTAGCGAGGATGACTGAATAGAGCTGGGTGGAGAGACATAATTTCTAGACATTGGTCTAGACCTGGCTCTTCACATAGATAGATAGATAGATAGATCGATCGATAGATAGATAGATAGATAGATAGATAGATAGATAGATAGATAGAGAGATAGAGAGATAAATAGATAGATAGATAGATAGATAGATAGATAGATAGATAGATAGATAGATAGATAGATAGATCGAGAGAGAGATAGAGAGATAGATCGAGAGAGAGATAGAGAGATCGAGAGAGAGAGAGAGATCAAAAGAGAGAGAGAGAGAGAGATGGAGAGAGAGATGGAGAGAGAGAGAGATGGAGAGAGACAGACAGACAGGCAGACAGACAGACAGACAGACAGACATACAGATACATAACATAATGTTGTCATTAGCTAGTTACCCGGCACTGAAGATTTCCATCTTGTCCTCGGGAGTCTCAAGTTCCATGTTGAGCAGCTGGCCTCTCTCCAGTTGCACACGTCCCTTGAGGGCAGTGCTGGTGTGCAGAGTGTTACGCATGCGCAGTCCAGTCCTGGTGACCATTGCGTCCACAGACATGGTTCCGGTGATTTCAATAGCGGCACTGAGAAATTGAAGATTCAAAAGTCATTACATGTATTTCGAAAACATCTACTAGGTTAAACTTAGATACCCCGCAAGTTCATATCAATAACGTACCTTTAAAGCCAAATGATTCTCACTATTATACAATATAGGATCCCTCTGAATACCAGTTCTGTAATGCCAGACCAGCTGATTTTGTGTAAATAGAGAGCATTTTTAAAATACTCCTCGCAATTCGTTCCTCAGTAGATATTCGATTGCAGATGTCAGTGCCATAAAAGCAATATTTATTTAATTATATTTTTTAATGAATCAAAGCTGCAATGGTATTCTTTTGAGGGGGGGGGGGTGGATTAAAACATTCCCAAAGCTGACCAACATTATAAACCATTTAAAAAGCAATAAAAACCAATCTTATTTTTAAAATTTTTTGTTAACTGATTCTGCACAGAATGCCCATAATAACCCTGATGTTCTCTGGCGCTTTAAAGGTTTGAAATATGAATTATTCGTTTGGTTCAAGGCAAGTGGAAGGGTGAAAAAAAGATGTATGGATTGACTGAAAAATGCCCCTTGTTTTGTTTGTTCGTTTTGTTTTTTATTGCTTTTGTTGGTGGGGGTTTTTTCAGAGTTAGAGGGTGTATAAAGTACCTTGGGCGAACTTCACCATCGATGTCCAGAGAACGAGGAGAGGATCCCAACTTCCTGAGGTCCATCTTGCCACTGAGAACCAGGTCCACAGTGCCGGTACCATTGACGTCGACGTGGATGGGCAGACCAGCCACGCTAGGGAAGATCATGCTGGGGACGTGAAGAAGCGAAATAGATTAACAGACGAATATCACAAGAATTTCTCTTTTAAAAAAGCACACAATTGCCTCATGTTTGTTGTCCTCAACACTTTCAATTTTAATGTAGGTGCTTTACGCCCCATCAGCACAATTTAGTTAAGTTTGAAAACTGTTTGTCAGGGCCAGTCCAGGCTGAGACGGATGTATCAGCGTGAAGATGGGGATACGCCACAAACATTTTTCCCACACGATATTTGATGCCAGATCTTCTGCATGTGACAGCCAAGCACAAAACCGCTACACTACAGACGCGAATCCAAAATACCTTGACACTCAGATAGTCAAAAGTGTCGTGGATGATTTGCTTTTTTCCGATCGACTATACATGATTGAGAAAACGAGAGACAAGTTTGAAAAAGGATTGATAATATTCAACAAATGTGAAAAAATACAGAAAGAAAATAAAGAAAGATAAACTTAGCAAGCAAAATAATATCTTTACTTTCATTGCTATTGTTATTTCTATAATTGTTTTTTAAATATTATTAGCATTATCATCATCATCATCTTAAATATCATTATCATTATTGGTATTACTATTACTGTTATTAAAATTATTATTATTATCATTGTGATTGTTATCAGTGTCATTATCGTTATAATTGTTAGTATTATTATCACTATTATTAATACTAATGCAGAAACTATAGAGCCTTACCAGGTGTCAATGAACTGAGCTGACTGGGTCAGAGCAAAGTCTTGTTTCTTGGACAGTTGGATGAGCAGGTCAAGCCAGCTGGAAGGCATTTTCTTGAAGGGCGATTTCATGGTCTTGCTGTGCATGAAGAGCATCTCATTGCCAAAGATTCGGCCATAGATGGAGCCCTCAACATCCTCAGCCTTTGCGCGGCTCTGTGGATGGCACAAAACATAACTATTAGACTACATTCGCGATATAAATGCCTGTTAGAATTCGTGCTGGCAACATGTTTTTGTCAACACTTAAGTATCGCCAAAGTTTGCTATTCAAACTGGGAAGTAGTTTTATGTTTGAAATCAACTTTGTAGTGATGGATTTGTGCTTGTTTGTTTGTTTGTTCGATGGTTGATTATTTAGGTTTGTTTTTTTATCTGTTTGTTCTTGTTGTTGTTTTAGGCTGTTGTTGTTTTGTTTTTTGCTTTTTTTTTTGGAGTGGGGTGAGGTAATGGATATTTCTCTGTTTCGAATTAATGATTTCGTAACTGTGCACAAATTGACAACAATAATCAAGGACACTGCTTCGTGTTAGTTTTTTGTCATGCGGTGGTATGTGTCAGTAGTAGGAAAGAAATAATGGTGGTAGGGTGAAGGGGTGTATTTTTTACACGAGAACTGAAACATACCTGTTTTTATTTACCTTTAAACGTAGATCATGCTCGCTTTTTTTACTGCTTTCTTTCCTTCATTACACTCATAATACAGCCCGGCAAACTGTCTTTGAAATTACTTAATTGTGATAAAACTGTTGCTTACCTTGAACTTCTGGTCTGATCTATCTTCTTCTGGCATGTATGGTCCGAAGAGATTCTTCACAAGGTATTCCAATCCTTCTAGACGGGCTCCGAAGTCCATCAGGTTGATAGCCTGGCCGAACAGATCGACGGTCAGGTTTCCTGAGATAGACCTGGGCATCTGCGACCCGCTGGACCAGACGAGGTTGCTCTCTGCTGCGAATCCCATGTTCAGTTTGTTGATGAGAGCAGACACTTCGAAGTTGCGGGAATACTTCAGGGCGCTCAGCTCGAATTCCTTGTCCAGTGCCAGACTACAAGGAGAGGAAATGAACAATGACAGAATATTGTGCAACTATGAGTTCTTGAGAGCAATTTATTTTGGAATATTGCCTCACGAACGCTATGAATAAGAATGAAAATGTAACTATTCACTTTTGGGAGCTTAAATTAAGATTAACTTAAAAAGGAAATGTTTATGAGGACTTGGAATACGATTGAAAATGAAATTGTCAACTTTTTGGGTGCTCAGAATAAGGCAGTAAATGTGATTATTAACTGCAAGGGCTTGAACAAGAGAGAAAATGTAAGTATAAGAATATGGGAGCTCGGAATATTAACTCATAGGAGCTGGAGATAAGAGTGATCGTCGATGACTAAATTAGTATCATCTTTATACGTACTCCCGTTGCCTTTAATGAGAGTTATGGTTAATGGGATTATTTAAGATGGTTTTTATTTTAAAAGTCTGATATGAGAAGCAAATACTACTAGGTTTAAGTTTCATATTATTCTGTTTATAGTTGGGCGTAAAATGTCCAAAACGACGAATTTATTTTGTAATTTTACAGTGACAGTGAACTCACTTTTGCACGGCACGAGCAATGTCCTGTCGGTGTGGGTCTGAAGTCTCCCTCAGGTTGGTCAAGTGGCTGTAGACGAATGCACCGACGTGGTCATCCTCCTCGCTGAGCAGACTGGCGGCCATCTTGCCCAGGGTGGCGTCGCTAGGGCACCGCATCAGGGCCAGGTAGGCAGCCACTCGGAGCTCGGAGTCCAGGTCACCGTTCTCAAAGGTGTTCCACAGTTCGTCCTCCTAATGGAAAAAGTTTGAAAAAAAATAATGTGCGTAGTCCTTTATCAAAATGTTATATTTTCCCGATTAATAACTGTAGAGTGGTTGTAATTTGTAACAAAAAGATTTGTCCAAAATAATAGCATGTAATAACATGATACTGCAAAATATGTTTGTATTCAATAATGGGAATAGAAAGAGAGAGAGATCCTTTTTTCTTCCATGACTCGTGTTTCTGGTTTTTTGTTGGTGTTGTTTTTTATTGTTGTTGTTGTTGTTATTTGTTTTTTTGTGTTGGGGCTTGTTTTTTCTTTCTTTTCTTTTCTTTTTTCTTTTTGTTGAGAGATTGTTACACAGGCAGGCCGGGACTAAGCAACAGTACTCTTTTATCATATTATATCAGAATCTAATTAGTCGGTTCTATTTTATTTTCTTTTTAGAAAACCTGGTAGGGCAGAAGAGGTGTTCAGCATGCTTTAAAACATAATTCAAACGTGTTCTCCCCTCACCTTTGCCTCACAAGGCATGCGTCTGAAAGCCTCAGCAGCAGCCACACGGATCTCCAGAGGGTTAGTGGGGGAGCTCAGGCACTTGTTGATGGGGCCAACAGCTCGGCTTGCATGTCCGGCGTTTCCGATAGCTCGGAGGGACAGGAGAACCTGAAGGAGGCAGGGAGGGATGTAAAAATCAAGTTGAAAGGAATGTTTAACTCATATTTAAACTTATGATGCGATATAGAGTTTTATGTTGCTGTCAGTTGTAAGACAAGTTGCAAATTTGTTCGTTTCAAATGGGTGGTGGGAGGGGGTGGTGGTGTCGGAGGTTCTTAAGTTCCCTCAGCTTTCTAATCAAAGCAGTGTGTCCCATCTCTACGTGCTGATCCAATAATGTTCTGTATACCTAGGCCGACACCTCAATAGATTAAAGTCTGCAAAGGTACGTTGTTCACTAAAGTAGTTGTTTAAAAAATCACACAAAAAACAAAGCCAGAAACAGAAATAAATGTTGAAAGGTAGCTGGGGATTAATTTTATTAGTCTATCATGTGTTATGATTACTTACAGAACAACATGTCATCATAAAACTTTAGAAGACAACAGTCCGATGTGCACCACGCAGGTATGGCAGTTCACCTTTTTTTTTAATTTCTAAACTTCATCTTTCTTTTTCCACACCACTGCATTGAGCTTTCATTTTGACAGTGGTGTAATCTTCAACTCAAACAAAACGAAAGCCATCCTGTTAATTGATGTAACACATTTTCGAACCTTCTCGAAATTCTTTCCAGAAACGTCACAGCGGTAGCCAATGTTCCTCTCCAGGGAGGCCATGATGCTGAGCACAGCGTAGTCCTGGTCACATGACGTCATCTTCCTGCAGTAGTTGTTCACCATGGAGGAGACGGGCAGCAGAGCGTCTTCCCTAGTGTCATCGCTGTCCACCAGAGTCTGCGGGAGATAGATATTGTGTAGCGTGTGTTAGAAGTGCTTTATCACACATTTAATGTGACGGTTGAGACACTGGTAAATGTATATTGTGTACAGCATCCCTTTCAACATTGGTTCAGTGCATTGAGTAAAAACTGATTAATTTAAAACAAGATAAAGTTATTACGCTAATATATGTCCCATTAGAGTATCTACAAGTAGTACACCTGACTATATGCATAATACATGAGTGTTCTAGCAATAGAGCGGATTCTACATCCCCCTCCAGCCCATGTGAGCATAAAAAATGCTCTGAACAAAACACACAATAGGAAGCCTTTTTTTTGTTCCAAGGTTAGCTCGTAGAAAAGAGGAGCGTTTTTTTGTTCTTCTCAGAAATCCTTGCTCTCATCATGAATTGTGTTTCCACTCTAAAATGAAATTATTGATCATTCTAATGGGCGCCCCTTATGACAAAAGACGAAAGAGTACCTTGGCACTCAGCAGCATCTCCGATGTGGGAGTTTGCACAAAGCCAAAAGATGTGATCCAGGCCTGGGCAAGGACGCCCTTGACATATTTGCTGGCGATCAGTGACGTCATCAGCTTGACGGACGCGTCAGTAGATGTAAGGGGCAAGGCATCCAAGAAAAATTTGCTGAAAATGGAAAATGGTAGTTTGCTTGAAATAACAGTTAATTTTGATTGTTTGTGGTAGCACATGCCACAATGGTCTATTTGTTATTAAATTTATCTCATACAATACACTCTATATCACGTTTTTTCCCCTCAAATTATAATGTTTTATATTTACTGAAGATAATCAGTAAGGATGAATAAATTAATGACAATAAATCAAAGGGAAATTGTTCAGGTGGGTTAGGGTCTTAACGGCGAAATGTGTGACTTAAGCCTCTGAAAGTTGGTGTATTTTCCCTGTGAAGAGAACGTTCGAGAAGATTACCAGAACGATTCACGACGTTGTCCCACTGTAAGTAACAACTCAGAAACATACAGCGATTTCTTGTAGGCTTTTTAAAGTGTAAGTTCTTATCGTTACCACTCTTCTTAACTTTCTTGAGGTAAGACACTTGACCCAGAAACTCACAATGTCTTGTCGTTGTCTGGGCAGAGAGTCTTGGTCTTAAGCATCTTGTGCAGATCCTCCAGGTCTCCCTGAGAGAGTGACCTCATGGCGATGACCAGCTCGGAGAAGTGGCGTGGAGACTCGGGTCTGACGTCATTACGGGAGGTGTCACAGATCACACGGAGACTCTCCTCCACCTGGGCACGTGCCATTTTGGCGTCACGGTGGCCAACAGAGTGGTCAAAGGCCAGGGAATCTTTGTTCCTGATGGTGGCTGAAAAAAAAGAGAAAAAATGATTAACAGATTTTTCAATTTTTTTAAGATGTTACCAAGAGACAGAAAAAAATCCGAGAGAGAGAGAGAGAGAGAAACAGAGAGAGAGAGAGAGAGAGA